AGGGACGGAGTGAGAGCTACACAGGGAGAATTGGCCACACGTGCACACTTCCTAATGGCTCTTCCTTCTCAGACAGGTGATGTTCAGAGAGTAAAACAGTGACAATGCAAGGGGCAGTCTCACTGGACCTTCTGCTTGGGAGACGAGCCAAGGGGGAGGATATGCAGGTGCTCCTCAAGGTGTAAGTTCTGGGTCAACAGGCTTCACATATCCGGCACAGCCTGGTGGCAGTGTGTGGGAGTCAGCCACCTTGTATGTTGCCGTCATCTCATCAAACTTTCTGCCTCTAAGTGTCTCATATCCCATGAGGGTCATAGGCACTGTGACACCAATTCTATGAGGACCTGGTCAATGTTTCACCCCGTGGCTGAGCCCAACACGCCCATGATAAAGTGTGCCTGGGCTTCTGCCTTGGTTCAGGCTCCGTAGCTGGGTGATGATACTTTGTACTTTTAACCTCCCGTGCCCCCAGAGTGTAAAGTGAGAAGGGCTGTAGACTGGGCGCTGTGCCCACAGCAGGAAGGTCGCTCCTGCCCAGTCTTGCTTGGTTCCTGTGTCTCCTCAGCCCCCTTGTCGCCGTTTTCCTGCTTCTTTGGCTCATGCTTGTTTGATTTGCTCAGCTGTCTCTTCCAGATGCAGCAGTCACACTGTGGATGGTCACGTGTGCCTCTCAGCCACCCCTGCATTAGCACTGAATGTCAGAGCCGGCCACCGGGTCCCCGTGCTCTGGCAGCCAAGGGTTGGTGCTCCCCTGTACCCAGGGCCAGCTGCCCCCAGACATTCTGCAGCCGCTCTAGAAGATAGACCATCGCCCCTCAGCTCCCCTGAAGACTAAGCAGGCTGGAGCCCCTAGAGGGGCTGGGGAATGGCAGGACTTGGGAGCAGTGCCTGAGAGAAGAGGGGCGGGCAGATGTACCACTGGAGACAAGAGTGGGTGTGAATGAGGCTGCTGGTCACCCATGGTGGCGGCTGTATTCCTGCAGATGAGAAGGTGGGGTGGGGTGGGGAGGCAAACTGGATGAGATGGTGCAAGCAGAGATGCCACGGATCTGACCAAGACAGCCCTAACTTTCCCCTTTCTCTCTAAGGCCTCAGAGCATGACCTTCCACCTTTACACAGGATGACTGTTGGTCCCTAATGGCATCACTGGCATTTAAATGCCAGGGTCCAGATACTGATGTAGCATCTCTTCTATGCTCCACAGCAGTCATTCACCTTTTATGTCCTCCAGCTCTCACGAACATGCACCTCGACTTTGATGCCCATTGCAGTTTTCCAAGGAAAGGACCACACTGAATAAAGGAAGTGCTTCTGTCCAAGCTCTCAATTATCTTTGGGCTCTTCACATTGCCACTTGAGTCCTACTCTGAATAAACTATGGAAGAGCCTTACTTCGTGGGGCAGGCTTGGAATCTGGCAGACTAAACAAGGTCAAAGGTCCTCAGGAGCGACGGGCAAGGATGGTTTCCCTGGGCAGGAATTTGACACATGATTTTAAGGGATATTTGTTTCAATACGCATGCTGCCTCCTCAGCCATCCACCAGCGGAGACCCTCATCTATGTTGACCGTGAAACAGCTTTGGCCAGAATGTTCTGCCATGATGTCCTCACCTCACCCTAGGCCTGGTGGGCTGGCTTCGGCTCTCTGCACTGCAAAGCAAGAGAGGATTTTACCACTTCAGCAAAACACCATTTTCAGTTGAGAGCTGCCTTGGGATTTGCAGGATTCCTAAATAGAAACTGGTTGAGTACAGACAGATGCTGAAGAAAGCCCAGCTTGCTGTTTGTAGGAAAGAGCCCATTGATGACACATCAAAATCATTCCCAAGCAGCTGGCTCTACTCTGCACTGTCTGTAGACCTTTCTGCAACAATATGGATCCGTCAGCTGCACTGTCAAATACAGCAGCCACTGGTCACAGGTGACAGCTGAGCACTGCAAATGTGGCCAGTACAAGTGGTGTTCATTTAGAAATGGAGGTCTCATTTAGCTTAAGTGATTTCAATTATAATAGTCTTATGTAGCTCTGGTATATGATTAGATAATTCTGTCCAAATAACACATTTACCTTCTAGGAAATAAAATTAGCCACAGAATCCCTTTGGGAAATGTAGGGGGCAATGAATCTTAGCATATTATTTTAGATAAAATAGTTTGGTAAAAGCCTGCATGGTGCCTTGGGAAGTCTCCCGGGACAGTGCAAGAGCTAATTCCCCAGATCAACACTGCCCAGGAATGTCTCCCCAAGATAAGGGGGCGCCTAGGCCTAGGTGACCCTCTGTAACCCTGCCTGGACAGTTCCGTCTCCTGGCCCTAGGTAAACATTGTACCCTAAAGGAATGCACAGGTTGTAAAAAAGGAGATAATGGGGGAAAACATCTATCATGGTTAGGCATGTGACCTGCAACTGACCTGGGGTCCAATAAGGTGAGAGAAACACCATATGCCCACTGGGGTCAGAGAATGTAACACCCCAATCTGTTGTCAATGGAAACCAAAATATATATAAGGTGAAACAAAGTTAGCCATGGGCCTGCTTCCAGACTGGCAAAGGAAGTAAGGGTGGCTAGCCTCAAATTAAACTCTAGTTTGTTCTCACTAGACTCGGGTTTCTTGTGGAATACAGCCCATTTGGTGTGAGGGAGAATTTCTGCAGTAACAGAAACTCTGCTCTTGGAGTAAGAAACAGCAAAAAGAACCTGTTCATTAGTGGCTATATTAGCCTGCTTTTGTTACTATAACAAAATACCTGTGGGATCCTATGTTATAAGCAAAGCAGGTTTATGTAGCTCACAGTTTTGAAGGCTGGAAGTCCAAAGAGTAGGGTGCTGGCTCTGGCCAGGATGCGCTTGGCTACCATAGCACAGCAGAAGTGTGTTATCTCTGGTCTCCCTTTCCTCCATAGCCACCAGGATCCAGTCATGAGGCCTCTCCTCTAATAGCCTCATCTAATCTAATCACTTTCAAAAACCCATGTCTGAACACCACATTTAGGATTAAGTTTCCACCCTCTTACTACCATTAACATAGGACATTGGAGATTACATGGAAGAGGGAGAACAAACTATATTGAGATCTCAACAATGACACTGAAAAAATTCCTGCAGTTTGATGAGTGAAAAATACTTTGAGGGTGATTTATCAAGCATGTTCAAAATTGGAGAAACTTACAAAAATCATCTGTTGTTGTCCTCCAGGACAGTAGTCCCCAGCCTTTTTGGCACCTGGGACCTGTTTTGTGGAAGACATTTTTTCAATGGCATGAACACCATCTAATCAGAATAGACATTGTACAGGCACTGACCAACCAGGACGGATACTTTATAAACACCAGCCAATCAGAATGGAACTGTGTAGCAACAGCCAGTCAGAATGGAACTGTGTGGACAGCCACAATTCAGAACAGAAACCCATCCAGAAACAGCCCTTGAGTTAGTCCTTGGTTCAAAGGAGGAGGTCCCTTGAGACTTAAGATCATAAAAATATTCTATAAATCATGGTAGTATAAGACTTGTCTGACATTTACTGGATTAGCAAAAAGGAGTAATGAGTGATGAGAAACATCAGGATGAATTTCATCTTTTATTTTGTAACTCTACAGAAATTGCCGAAATCTTGACACATTTAAAAAGTCAAATTCACCTTAGCAACAGCATGGTTGAGCATGAGGGGCTCAGAGCAGCCACTAATTGCGAACCAGTTTGGAAATCTGTGCCAACCAGTTCAGAACTCTAGCAAGTAACAGCCCGGCCTTCGGCTTACATATGAAGGGGCGAGGTGGCCAGTGAACATCACTGAATGTATCGAGATGAAGGACAGTGTTTGGAACAGGCAGAGATTTCATTCTCAGTATCAGCATTCATGTTGACTTTAAATGGGCCGATGTGCAGGAGTAAGAGACTGTTAGGGACCACTACAAAGTGGCTCTGAGCTGGATCTAATATTAGCCAATCGGCTTTCTGTGTTTACTTGTGAGTTGTCCGAAGCTTAGGCCCCTTGTCTGAAGATGGGCAGTGGACTCATAGTAAGTAAACCTCTGGGAGTCCCTGGTCACCCTGAGGCCTGTGTTGGCCTGTGAAGGACAAGATAAGGCCACAGTTGAGGACGTCTGGCGCCAACCCTGATTAACGACAAGGAGACTGCAGCTGCAGGCTCCACACTCCTGCAATAAATACCAACCTAAAGATAAAGTAGTTCTCCTGACTGACATAATTTACTACTTGTGAAAATTCTCCCAAGGTCCTGCCCAGATTCCCGTGTTTCCTTGAGTATCCTGCTCCTTTGCTTGTAAACCAAATAAATAGGGGCTGCCCAAAGAAGTCTTTGGCTAAACGCAGAGAATATCAAAGCTGTAAGAGAGTTAGTCCCTCCTGAAGCCCTGAAATCATTTCCGTTGTCTCATTTATTTAAGTCTCCGCCATCCACTTGATCAGCCTGCAATAACTAAGGGTTATTTAACCCAATAAGCGACAAACGAAGCTGGGGTCATTATTCACAGAAGTCTCCTGTTTTCCTTCTTGGAAAATACTTCATTTCTAAACACCATGATTCTTTAAACTACTCTCTGGTTAGTAAAGAGTTAAGAAAGGTAATGGACATTTTGGGAGTTTTCATTTTTGTTTATTAAAGGATGCCTTGTCCCTTTCCATTTTTAAAAAATGATGTCTGGAGTATGTGAACTTTACCCCTATGCCAGGTAGAATCCACATCTAGTGCATCTGAGGAGCTGAGCGCAGTCCTGACACAGGAGCAGATGGAAATGACTGTCTTCCTGTAGATACCAACCATGAGCTATTTAGGAATGTGCTCCTCATGTTCAACTGCAGCTTATTTTTAACCCATTGAGTTCCAGTTGGCCAGTGAGCTTTGGAGTTCTGACTGCTCATGATTTTTATTCTCTTACGTGACTGATAATATGCAATTATGCCTCTACCTATTAAACACACATAAATATTAAATTAATATGCTTATAAAAATATTTTACAAGCCATGGCAGAATACAGGCTTTTCTACCATTTATTGAATTAGCAAGCAGGAGTGTTGGGTGATGAGAAACATCACCATGAGAAACGAGCAGATTTTACTTTTAAGGAATTCTCTAAAACCATGACACATCTCAGAAGTCGAATTCAACTTGGAATTTGGGAAAAGTGATTCCCCTGTGGCTCTGCAGCGTCAGTTCCAACGTGCAACTCCGATCAGGAATGCTGACCAAGCTGTCACCAGGCTCAGCACAGAGAGTGACGCTGGCATCACGGTACGAGTCGTCCACGGAGTCCTTACTACACTAAAGTTACATTCCTGACCTTCGGAGGACTGGCGATGTTGAAAGAAACCTGTGGACGACTTGCCTGGGTGGGCCGATGTCTCTCCGGTTCCTGGCAGCAAAGAGAAAAGGATCCATTTAATTGGTTGAGCTCACTGTAAAGTATACCCTTAAGAATCCTCTCCCGGGGCTGGGGATTTAGCTCAGCGGCAAAAGCGCCTACCTGGCAAGCGCAAGGTCATGAGTTCGGTTCCCGGTACCGGAGAAAAACCAATAAAAAAAAAAAAAAAAAAAAAAAAAAAAAAAAAAAAAGAAGCCTCTCCCATCAGTGAAAACAAAATTGGGGTTCAGAGAGGAAAAAATGTTCAACACGTTCTTCCTTTACTTTGTCATTTTCAACAGCACACACTGTAGGTGTTTTCCAAGTCAGGGCCCAAAGAACAATCCAATTCCAAGACTCCCCAGTTCCCTCCTACGGAGACAATTTACAAATGCAGATTCCCTGGTTTGTTCTGTCAATCTTCCTATGGAAGTTCTTGTTTTTTTAATTTTTTCATTACTATATGTTTGCAATACATAATGAATATATACCTCAGGGGGTATTGATACACATGTGTCACATCTTGATCCTTTTAGCTCTTGTTTTACTAGATAGTTTCTATGAAAAGAGAAAATATTTCCAAGCTTCTTCGAATACCATGCATTCATTCTAAAAGTGGGGGTGGAAGGATTGAAGAACTGACTCAAACTATGCCCTGTCTGTCTCCTTGGACAGCGTGAGGCTGGCTGCTGTCAGGAAGGAGCCAGTCTCTCATCACGTCCAGAAATAGCTCCCAGACAAACCATGGAACACTCCAGGAAGGCCTGCACCTGCTTAATAGTTGCCCAACTAAAATGTGTTCTCACTTATTTCTCCTGACAGCCCTGAGGACTACGCTAGCTCAGATTCCAAGGCATAGCGGCCTCTCCTGCCACCTAAATGATGTTACCAGCCAGGAGGAGTGACTCTCCGTGCAGTGGAATGCGAGGGAGTTCTGAGGACAGAATCACCTGCCTCCAGCTGGGATGAATTGAGCCCCAAGAATCTGGCCGTGGATGGTACTATTTCAGCCTTCTGCTGTGAACCATGCCGACTGCAGAGTTGTGCTGTCATTTGCTTTTGGTCCCACTGCTAGGGTGTACACATGGGCTGCTGCTTCCCAAATTTACCCCTAACTGACTCCTCTTTTCCTAGCAGGACATGAGGTGAGTAGGGATGGCGCACGCCTGTAATTCTAGCACTCAGGAGGCTGAGGCAGGAGGATTGTTATGAGTTTGAGATCAGCCTGCGCTGCAAAGTGAGCTCAAGGCCAGCCTGAACTGCACCCTGTCTCAAAAAGACAAAAAACAAAAAACAAACAACAACAACGACAAAAAAAAAACCAAACAAAAGGTGAACAGGGAGGCTCAAGGCAGGTTTTGAGACACTTATAACCTCATCCTGTAAAGCTAACAGAGAAAGAGACAAATCTAAAACAACCAGAAAGACTGAGGGCACAGAAAAAAAGCAAAGGATGTTTATGTGTTTTAAATATTCATCAAGAAACAGCATTTGCAAATAGCATGGCTACGTATCAAAATAGGAACGCACCTTTCCCATTAGCTGACTGTAACTTCTGGTAAATATTTCCAATTTTATGTGTAGTGAGTCCCTGACTTATGAACAAGTTCCATTCTGGGAGAATGCACATAAGTTGGATTTAGGATTTATTTTTTGTTTGTTTTTGAGACAGGGGCTTGCCATATAGTCCAGGCTGGCTTTGAACTCACTTATGTAGCCCAGGCTGGCCTTGAACTCATGATGATCCTCCTGTCTCAGCCTCCCAAATACTGGGATCCCAGGCGTGCGCCACCACACCTGGCAAGTCGGATTTGTTTGTAATCTGACAAAGTGAGTCACATAGTCCTCCTGTGAAAGTCGCAGCTCGAGGGTTTGTGTGTTTCAGCTGCTGTCACACTGAGCTAATTCTGTTTCAGCCACACCTCTTATCTTCAAAATAATGTCAGTATCAAAACTGTAACTGCAGTAGAAACTACTCCATTGTAGTAGAAATCAACAGTTGTGAAAATCAACCTCTTTTTTTTTCCTTCCGATTCTTCCTACCACTTAATGTGTGATCTGGGGTCTCTGCAGCCTAAAACCATGTGTCTTTTACTCACATTGTGTGTCCCGTGCCTAGACTCATATAAAACATGGGAGGAAAAAATAAATAAATAAATAAATAAACCATGGGAGGCTTTAGAAGGTGCACGGCAGTGTGGATGGTGGAACATTTCAGCACCGTGACCCATAAGCCTCTCAAACCTTTCTGAGTGTTTCAGAAAGCTCATCAGTGATTCCAAATGCAGTTTTAAGAAAACCCCTAGGACTCAGAACACTCTTTCTTAGAAAGAATGATGCCCATGTCAGCAAACATATCCTCCTCAAAGCAGATTACCCAGGAAAGACGGGGAAACTACCAGGTTTGGACTCTGTCCTCTGGATGTTCCGGTCCAGAAAGTCTGGAAGAGCCCTGAGAGTCCACGTGTAACGCATCCCTGTGTTCCGGTGCTGCGCTGCTGGGAACTCTGCCAGGCCAGCTGGCAGCTGCGACGCAGGCTGTGATGTGGTGGGGTGCAGCTCAGTAGCAGAGGGCTTTTCGGCGCTCACAAGGCTTTAGATTTGATCCCCAGTCCCGGGAGCTCCCGGTTCTTTTGTACATACTTTGTCCCCCAGGACAGATGAAAGGAGCCCCGCGGTGGTACTGGGGCTGGGATCCATGCCGGCTGCCGGCTGGCTCAGGCTTTATAGCCCCGAGCTTAGGGAGGGTTTTCCTGCAGAACAGTGCAGTGTGCGGCCAGCAATCCCAGGCTCAGATAAACCAGCTCCTCTGGCGGCAGTCAGGCCTGCCTTGTGCAGGGCTGGGCCCCAGAGGATGTGAGAGGTGTGCGCAGGGACACACCCTGCAGCAGAGCAGGCCCTGCGAAAAACGGGTCACAGAGGCTTGCGGACAGGAGGCAGGGAGGTCCAGTGAGAGGTGCTCCGAACCCTCTCGGCTGCCTCTCCTGGGCCTCCAGGGAGCGAGGCTCTGCAGAATCAGGGAGGGCTGAGGGAAGAAGACAGACCATGCTGTTCTTACAGCCTCCTGAGAAGCTCTGAGCTCTGTCCTGCTCTGCGCCCCGCAGAGTAACCACTCAGACACACTGCCCAGGTGGGGCTGAGGAAGATTTTAAAGGAAGGAAACCCTGTGCCAAGCATTACCCTGACCCGCTCTGCAAGCTGTGATTTGTCACGCCGGCCGCTCCCACAGACCAGCTGACTACACAGAAGGCCTTGGGACAAGAACCATCAGGCTCCTTTGCTCCTCCAGTGCCTCTCCGCAGGCAGAGCCCACGGCACCCCCTGCAGCCGGGCTCCCCACACGGCCATCTGGACACGACGCCGGATCCCTGCCTGTGAAGGTGCCCTTGGGGGCAGCTCAAAGACTGACCTCATCTAGAGCTGTGCTTGTTCTCCAGTTCCTTGCTGTAAGGAGAAGATGCAGCTAGCTGCTCTATACCCCTCCCCAACGCCCAGCCCAGACAAAGGCGACCCCTCCTTCCCGGGTCTTGATTTGTTTCTTTCTTTTTTTCTCTTTTTGAGACAGGGTCTGGCTATGCAGTTCAGGCTGGCCTTGAGGAGCTCACTTTGTAGCCCAGGCTGGCCTTGAACTCATGATGATCCTCCTGCCTCAGTCTCCTGAGTGCTTGGACGACAGGTGTGCATCACCACGCCCGGCCTTTGATTTGTTTCTTAGGGACCCTGACTCTGCAGACACACAGCTCTCTTGAGGTCTTGTAAACATTCCGGGAACAGGGTATGGTTTAGGTCTAGATGTCCCCCAAAGCCTCATGTGCTCAAGGGCGGGGCTCTGGATCGCGGGCGCATGGTACTCCATGGATTTGTCCGCAGATGAGTTTACAGCTAAATGTGATGCTGGGGGTGGAACCTGGTTGGAGGAGGTGGACCACTGGGGCGTGGCTGGGGAGGGTCTAGCTCCCTCCCTCACTTCTCCCTTGATCTTGCTCTCTACTTCCTGTCTGCCATGCCAGGGACAGCTCCCCTCTGAGAGGCACCTCTGCCATGCTGCCCTGTCTTGGAGCAGTCCATGGACTGAAACTTCTACAGATTTGAGGAAAAATAAACCTCTCTTCCTATAAGTTGTGGGTGTCCGGTAGAGAGGAAGATTGGGATGGGACACAAGCTTGTGTTGCCGCCCACAGATCTTAGCAGCTCCATGGCCGCTGCTTTTCCGTCACCAGTAGATTATTCAGCTGGTGACAGGTTTCAGTAATCTGTAAGGCAATCTCTTACATTTCTCTCCCTGTTTTCAAAACAGCCCTTCACGCGTCAAGAAGGACGCTGAGAGCTTGGCAACGTCATCCTCAGCTGTTTGCGGACACACGTAGGTTCTCCTTCCTCATCTGTAGTGGATGTGTTTCGAGGGGGTTATCTGACCACAGTGTGTTCTGGATCTCCGCCCAGTCAAACCTCTGGCTTATTCTAGTTGATGGCAGAGGTAACGCAGAAAGGCTGGGGTAACAGCAGCTGGCTGGATCGGGTTCTTGGCCTGTCTGTGTTTGGTGCCAGGTGGCAGAGAGCCCACCACACCCCGGCGTGGGGTCTTGACAAGCAACAGCCCCCGCAGGGTGATCATCACTCCTCTTCAACTGCCACCTCTTAGTCTCTGTGCTTCTGAAGGAAACCTGTCGCTTTTCTAGAGTTGTCCCTCCCTCCCAGCCCGGAGGAGAGCCATCAGAAGACGGGTGTGCCTAAGAGGTCTCCCCGACGGAAAGAGTTTACCTCTCCAAAGTCCTGACAGCCATCTGAGAAAGCAGCTGGAACTCACCCCAGAGGCCAGTCATCTGCCACTTGGCCCCGCCTTCTTCTGTGCACCCTCTACTCACAGGCCTTCCCACCTGGCCACTCTGCGACCACGTGGCAGGTCCACCTGCCCCCTCAGGGAACACCGGCCACGGCTCCCCACTCTCCCTCAGGGCCAGAAAGGCTCCCATCACTGGCAGGATGGATGGACAGCCGTGCTGCATCCAGACTGCAGGAGGGACGTTACAGCCTGCAGCTGCCTGGAGATAAGAGTAAACAGCTGTGGCAAAGCAGAATGATCCGGGCTGCCAAGGCATATGCAGGGCACCATTGCCGCAGGCTAACAGCCACTCCTGTGCGGAAAAACCCAAGGCCATCTGATCCACTGTGCCTCAGAAGTCCAGCCCGTGAGGTGCTCCCCCAAGCTGAAAGGAGCACCCACGCTTACTGGGGACCCTGTTGCAGAATCGCCCTGAAATACTTCTCGCCTGAGGTTGCATCTGTACAGGTCAGAGAGGGTGCTGGTTATGTTTGTTTCACCCAATATGATTTTTGGAGATGAGAAATCTTATTTTCTGCCCACTAGCTCTAGCTCATTTATGTGTGATAGCCAGGGGGAACCCCATATCAGAGATGAACCCAGTATGTCCTCAAGGTTCCCCTCTGTTTTCGGTCATGTCCAACAACACAGTGCTTGACAACCAAGATCCACAGCACGCGCTTCTCCAGAGCTGCACACCTGAGCATCCAGCTGCTGCACATGTCCCCATGTGGGCATCTAAGACACCTCAAAGTCTACAAGCTCCACATTCTGTGCCTGCCTGTTCCCCAAATCCACTCGGCCCTCAACTTTCATAGTAACTCCAGCCTCTTTGGCTATAACCCTAAATCATCAGGGACTTCTCCTTTGCCCCAGAGATTCTAATCCCAATAGGATCTTTCAGGCTCTGAAGCCGACGGGCGCAGACCTCTCCTGAGTAGCGAACCACACTCTTTCTGTGTGCTTCTCAGCCCCAGCCCCAGCGTCCTCCCCTGAGTCACAGTGCCCAAGGGTCAAGGGCAGGCATGCATCTGGTGAGTGCCAGGGAACCAGGGGAGCACGGCTGACTCAAGTCCTGGGAGAACCTGGCTCAGCAGAACAAATGGCAAATGGCGTAGGCTGCTCACAGCTTTGCTGCCTTGGATGACACGTCCCCGACAAGCCTCCCAAACATGCATAGACAGTTACCCGCATCAGCTGTGGTCTTGGAGCCGCTGCCACAAGGACAAGAGAGTCTCACTGCCCCACCCTACTCCCCCAGCCCGACCCATGGACATGGAGCTGGGAACGGAGGCCTTCTTCCATGCAGAATATGCAACACTCACCTACCACATGCTGATGATTTTTAAATAGCAAAAGAAAAGTTAAAAAAAAAAAAAAAGATTTGGATCACCTGCTGAGGAGGGCTGCTGCCACGCTGGGCTGGAACACTCAGTTCACTGGACTTAGGAGGGGAAGGAGTGGAGTCTGCAACAGAAGAATGGTTTTAGTGTAAGAAGTGATAAAAACCAAGCATATCCTAGCAGCATGATTTATAACTCCCTTTTATGTGGTAACTCTGGTATGAGATAATCCCTAATCATTGCTACAGTTTGGATCTCAAATGTCCTCCAATGGCCCACGCGTTGAAGGCTTGGTCCTCAGCTTGACGGAAGTGGTAGAATCTTTAAGAGGTGGAGCCTGGTGAGAGGAAATGAGGTCACTGGGGCGTGGCCTCAGAGGGGCTATTGAGACCCTATCCCTCCTGTTTCTCTTTGCTTCCTGGCTCCCAAGGTGCAAATCTTTGCTCTGCCACACTCTCCCTACAGTGATATTTTGCTTTGCCACAGGGCCCAAAACAATGGGGCCAATCAGTCTGGGATGGGAACCTGTGACATTATGAACTAAAACAAATCTTTCTGCTTTATAAGTTGTTTATCTCAGGTATTTCATCACAGTGACAAAAAGCTAACACAAGCATAAATAGGTTTTTTTAAAAATCCCCTTGAACCTGAAAGAGTAAATAAAATCCAAAAGGTACAGTAGATATTGTGAAGGGGAAAGAAACTGCTCAAGAGGAAAGAAAAAAAGAAAGAAGGGAAAAATATGTATGTATACATACATATACACAAGATAGCTAAGATAATTCTACTACTAATTTCTATTGGTTTATTGAAAGGAACAGTTAATGTGTAATTGTTTGATCAATCTTATATACCTATATCTGGTTATCTGAGTAACCACTTTGAAGACAACAATATATAATATAACCACCATTGTAGAATTTCCTATCATACTGTTTTGAAATTCTGTATCATTTTTATTGTTTTATGTTGTTTTGTTTATATCTTTGTTTTTGTTAATTTCTCTTTAAAATAGAAAGAAATATATATGTATATACAAAGATAGCTGGGATAATTGTATTGCTGATGTCTATTGGTTTATTGAAAGGAACAGTTAATGCTTAAATTTTTTTCTCGATTAATATTGCTTACTTATATCTGGTAATCTGAACTAATTTGGAGGCAACAATATGCAATATACACAACCATTGTTAAATTCCTACCATCTTGTTTAACAAATTTCTGTAGCATTCTCATTTTTTAACTACTTTTTATTGTCTTTAACTGTTTGATCAATCTTCCATTCTTACATCTGGTAGTCTCAGCAACTTCATTGAAGATAACAATATGTAATATAACAACCACTGCTAATTCCTATCATCTTGTCTTGAAATCCTGTATCATTTTTATTGTTTTTGTGTTGTCTTGTTTTTGTCTTCATTGTCATTTTGTTATTTTTTCTCCTTGTAATTAAAAAAAAGAATCACAGCCAAAATAAGACATTAACTGCAAAATCTGAAATGGCTGTGCTTATCCTTTTACAAAAATGCACCAGAGTCCGCTAGACCTTCCTGAGGATGTTGGCCTGTTTTGCTTGTGTGTGTTGCCTAAGGAGCTCCTCCCATTACCACAGGGTGCTAAAGCCTTGGACAGGGCAACAGCTGTCACTGTCTGTCTTTCTGGGGCCACCAGGGGCCTGGAGTTCTGGCCCTCTGCCGCTCTGGCTTGGAGGAGCCCAGTCTCCTGCCTGACTTCCAGTCCCAGCAACCTGGGAGCAGGGCAGGATGAGACTACCGTCCACCACACAGGCCAGCAGGGGGACAGTACCCCACACCAGGAGTCTAGTTCAGGTGTTAAGTTGGCCCAACAGCCCGTGAGTGTGCTACCACTGAGCTACACTCCCAACCCTCTTTTGTGAGACAGGGTCTCGCTATGCAGTTCAGGCTGGCCTTGAACTCACAGCAGTCCTCCTGCCTCAGCATCCTGAGTGCTGGGATTTCACTTCACTTTATTTTAAACTTTTGACAATCTTGTTTTTTGTTTTTTGTGTTTTTTTTTTTTTACCATGAACTTACTCCTAGGTGTTCCTAATTCTAGAATTTCTCCTTTTAAAATTGATGCAAAAAATAATTTCCACCAATGCCAAGTGATCTTCCCTAGGAAGATGGCGTCTGGTCAGCCACCCCGACTTCTGCACGTTCATCCAGCTCTTTCCACTGCTCCACCTGCTACTCACGGGCACTCCTTGGTTCATCTGAGCTGTAGGCATAGTTTTCGTTTCCGCTTTTTGGCTTTGTCTCAAGAGCTCCTGTGTTTGTCTTCATGTTTGCAGATTTCCTAGAATTAGAGCATTTTATGAAGTCAAGTATTAATCATCAGTGGAGAACAGATCTCCATGGTTACATGTAAAGCATTCTTTTTGTTCTGTTTTGATTTTTCTGGTACTAGGGATTGAACCTAGGGCCTTTGCACTGAGCTATATCCCCAGCCCTTTCTTTTTTTCTTTTTTTCTTTCTTTCTTTCTTTCTTTCTTTTTTTTTGACAGTGTTTCACTAAGTCACAGGACGCCCACTCTGGGCTTGAGCTAACAATCCTCCTGCCTCAGCTTCCCAGAGAGATTACAGGTGTATGATACCATCCCTAGCTGGAATAAACCGAAAATGTTTACCATGTAGCCCTTTATAGACCAAGTGTGCCAACCCTTGAAACAGAGCAAAGATTGATGCTTCTTCCTCAGGGAAGGAAGTTTGTCCATGAGAAGTTTGTCCAGAGGGTTAAAAATATTCTAAGACTTCTAAATATTTAAAAAATTCTGAAACCTTTTAGGAGTTTCTTCTTGGAAAATAATCCCAGATATAGGCAAAGATTGACTTGAAAGAATCTTCACTTGTGAACCACAAAGAGAGAGAGAGAACTGAAAATGATTCAGAGGACTGGAAAACAAATGGCCACGTGTCTCTGGGACGGGTCTCCAGGCTGTCAGACTGGAGACGGTGAGATCTCACACACAGCCTGGGCGCGGGTACACTGGAAGTGCTCCTTTGGGACCCTGAGGCAGGCTCGTCCCACGCTGAACACATGCCAGTCCTGTGCCCTGCTCTCACCACTAAAGATGCACAGACAGAAGGCCAAACAGGTGTGGGTGCTCAGGTACCAAAGGCAGGCCTGGGAATGTGTGGAGCCAGGCTCCATGCCATTTGTCACGGCCCCAACCTGAAAACTACCTAGATGCACACGAAAGCAAAAGGAAGAGTGAGTTGCACGCATGTCCTGAATGCAGCACTCTGCAATCACAGCCACCCACGCCTGCGGGCCACAGTGCGGCTCGGCTTCCAGCTGGAAGCTCAGGAAGGCAGGTGTGAATGAGTCTCCTTGATGCAACTCTATCTCCATGACCTCTGGGGATGTGGCAGAAGATGCCGGGAGAGTGTGGCTCTTGGGGCAAAGGAGCAGAGAATGATTTAACGGGGGTCCGAGAGAGCCGCTGTGGTTTTTTTTTTTTTTTTTTTTTTTTTGGTTTTTTTTTTTGGTTTTTCTCCGGTACCGGGAACCGAACTCTCGACCTTGTGCTTGCCAGGCAGGCGCTTTGCTGCTGAGCTAAATCCCCAGCCCAGCAGCTGTGGTTTTGAATCCTACCGTCCCATACCCTGCCACATGTGCTTGTGAACATCCAGCCAGCCACACACCGATGATTTGTGAAATGTTCTGTTCCTACACTTCCGTTAAAAACTTTACCAAGCGAAATAGTGTTGTGCATAAATATTCATTCGCAGAAATCACCTTTAGAATCATGTCGAGCAAAGCTGGGCATCGTGGCACGTGGCTGTTGCCCCAGCTTTTTGGGAGACAGAGGCAGGAAGATTACAAGTTCAAGCCCAGCCTGGGCAACTTAGCGACTTAACGAGACCCTGTCTCACAAAGGGCTGAGGAAGAGGCTAAGTGAGAAGACCCTGTGTTCAAGTTCCGGTATCAAGAAAAAAACAGCATCAAGTGAGAAGAACAAGCTATAAAATTACTTTATGGTCCAAATTGTACAGAATGCCTGCTTACATGTGCTTGTCTCTGTGTACACACATGAACACACACCTGTAAGTACTGCCTACATACTTAAATCATTACTTCCGGGCAGCAAGACTGAGGGTGGTTTTAGTCCTACTTCTTATCTTTATGTTTAATTTTTTTCACTAATAGACACGAGCTGATCCTCTAAGAGAAACATGTAAGTTATTTTATGCAAGTGGTGCCTGTGGTATCTGGCGCCAGCGCTGGGGACACACAGGAAGGGAAAGGCTGCTGCAAGTGGTCAGCCTGTGAGAGCCATCTTCCTCCAGGGCAGGGAGGGTCCAGTGCTACAGCTATACCCGGACAAGGGGCCCGGTCACATTCTGACCCTCCACTGTCCACGGGGCAATGCTGGGCATACTTAACCTCCCTGGACCTCAGTGTCCTCAGGTACAAAATGGAAAAACAGCCTTATAAAATGGCTATAAGAATTAAGTAAGGGCTGGAGATATAGCTCAGTGACACAAGTGCTTGTCTGGCAAATGCAAGGACTTGAGTTCAATTCCTGGTACCAAAAAAAAAAAAAAAAAAAAAAAAAAAAGAGAAAGAATTAAGTAAGATTAAAGACCTCTGCAGAGCTTAGAGCAAGTCCTCAGGATACAGCATAAGTATATTAGCTGTTATTGTGGTTATCATCCTCACTATACTGTCGCTGTTTTATTCTCAGCTGTCATCCTAAATAGCTTGTGATTGCTTTACTGAGCTTTGAACTACCTACCTACCTAAACACACACACACACACACACACACCAGAAACAGAGATAATAGCACAGTCAATAATGGTGAACCAAAGAATTCAGGCTGTGGTCCTGCGTGACCACCATCAAGAGAAATGCCAGGTAAATACCCGAGTGGGCTTCCCTCCCTCTTCCTGTTCTTGGGTCGGGTCCCAGGGCTGCTGAGGGATCCTCATTCTTCCTATATGTGCGGCTGACGCAAGCCTTGCTGGGGGAACCTCAGAACACAGCCACCTTTCTGAGATGCGCATCATTTTGTCACTCGAGGATTACACATTTGGCCACTGTATTGCATGCAGCCCAAAAGTGTTTTAAAACCTCATCATTCAGACAGTTTAAACTGATGCACACAGCTAGATGTGGCTGTTAGGACACCCCCAGTGAGCAGCTGTCTAACACCCTCCCCTCTATGCACCTGTGACTACGGAAAGACTGTGGTCACTTACACTGGTTCCTGTAGAGTAGTGTAAGCCCAGGTTCTGCTACCTTCACAGAGCCCACAGCTATTGCTGGACAGAGTGGAACTGCAAGGATGGTTTAACCCTGCCCCCTTATCAGCAGAACAGGCAGCAAACACCGCCTAACCTGTCTGCCTGAACGGTGCCTTGTGCTTTACAGGCATCTCTCCGACTCAGCTTACTGCTGTCTGCTGCCACCAAAATCCCAACAAAACCTCTGCCAGTGTCCCCAGCCCCAACCTGACGCAAAGCAGGAGCACAATCACAGGGCACAGTGCCCTCTGGTGGGAAGAACTGCAAATGGCTGATGTTAAGAAAATCCTATTCACCCTAAGTGACTAGAGCGGGTCAACCCAAGGAGTCCACCTACCTACATTGTTCTACAGTTAATGCTACCCTGTGAGTCCATGAACTGTATACAAGGTTTTTCACAGTTGTCTATCTTCAGAACTTAATTTTGAATTCCATAAATCCTAAAGTTCCACAGTTACGTGTGTAGATATATTAGTGGCAGTGGTGGTTTGAATTTCAAAAAGTGATGTCACTTCAGACTTACCTTATTTCACTTTGATAACTTGATTCTGCAAGAAAAGAACAAAATTCCATTAGAAAAATCAGGACAGTGATTCTAAAAATAAAATCTCACTGGCTTTACAGATTTCCTGATTTTAACAGATCTCCCATTAGTCTTTTGACTCAGTATGTATTTTTAAGTGGCCAGGCACCTGAAAGACAGTGAGTGTGCAGTAAGTGCTTAGTGAATACTGAATTTGATTAAAAGATTATCAAGACTCCACTCGACAAGCAGTGCTTGGTGTCACCAATCACCACTGCCATTCACTCAGGTCTCACTGAATATCACCACCTCCCAAAACTACACAATGCGGCCTCACTTAATTGTCACAAAACCCAAAAGGTTGGCATTAGTGTCATCATATTTTAACAGACTAGATGCTATTATATATTACCCTATTTCTTAATCCTAAGATAAATTTTCATTCAATTTCTTAAACACCAACAGCATCACTTCATGTAGTTGTGCTATACACACCCCTCCCCCTTAAAAACCCTATCGTTAAATTGCTAACGTTTCTAATCAGTGAAGTCTTAGACTACAGGGAGCCTAGAATTTGAAGACAGGGAGTAGCAGGCCATAGACCAAGTGTCCATGTGATATCTTAGATTTAAAATATTCCCCTAAAGTCTCATGTGTTCAAAGGACTTGGTCCCCTTCTGAAAGGAGACTGGATCATGAGGATCACTGGATCACTGATAAGATTGTAATTCCATGGCATGGAAGGTGACAGGAACAGGTAGGGTCTAGTTGAAGTGAGTGGGTCATACGGCAAGATCTTGGGGACTGTCTCTGGTTCCCACTCCCTTCCTTTTTGGGTCCTTTTCTCTCTTCTTCTTGGTTGGCATAAGGTGAAAAACTTTCCTTTCCCACGTCCTTCTGCCATGATGTTCTGCCTTCCCTGAGGCCCGGAGTAATGGAACCAGCCAGCCATGGACCAAAACCTCTGAAGCCATGAGCCAAGACAAACTTCCCCCCTTTAAATCCTTCTTTCCGTCCACTGCCATCCTGAGTTCCCCAAGCCAGGCCGAGCGGTCCTCTCAGCCATCCTTGCCCACTCCTCAGTTCACCAACTGGCGCACAAAGAGTTCTCCAGAGACCAGCAGAGCAGCAGAAGGTACTTTTTGAAAACAAGTATGCTTAATATTTGTAAGCGCTAAAATAGTCATCACAGGAAAATCCAGAGCCCCAGGGCTGTGTGCATTTATGCTAGTGTGCTGCATGGTTGCCGCTGTGAGTCACAGCTGGTGGTGCAGGGTGGGTATTCTGAGTGGGTCGTGGCAGGTCCCTCTCTGTTCACGTCCTCACCCGCACCTGCTGCACACAAAGGGAAAAGCACAGCTCTCCCTTCCATCATTTCAAAGTTAAAGGATAAATTTGAGGACAGATCACAGAAATTTTTAATGTATTAATTCATTTAATTCCCACAACTTCTCTACAGGATAATCGTTTTTCCCATGTTGTGGATTAGGAAACTAAAAATCGTCCTGTGCACCGCTTGTGTAGGTCAACAGCCATCAGGTAACGTCCTTCAAGGCCAGTACAGAGCAGACGAAAGCCTCAGGGCAGCAAAAAGTCCAGAGAACCGGACTTCTCCAACTGTTCTGCCAGAGCTGATGTGGAAAATCACCACCCCCAGGCACTGACCAATCCATCCACTTCTCAGCTCACACTGTAGTTCTTTCAATAGCTGAAATCCAGCACATTTCAAGTAACCCATCTGTGGCATGCAGGGCAATTCCCAGGTAAAAACAAATGCGCATCTAACTTAAATCAACAGGAGTTTACTGCCTTTTGATTTCTACTTCCCAAGGAATAAAACTGTGCCACAGAATTAATCCCCCAATGCCAAACTAAATCCACGAAGGAAGTAAGGCTAGATTGTCACCCTAGTTAAGGATAAACCATATGTTTTATCTAGAATGTCTCACTAAGAGAGATACTCCATGAAGAAGAGTTAGCATTGTGCCTGGCACACAGGCACTCTCTCTCTCCCTCCTAGTCTTCATTGGATGGCAGTTAAGCTAATAAATTAAAAATGCAAACCACCTGATATATACTCAAACCTCAAACCTCCACTTTTAAGAAAAATAACTATAGAAAATACTCAAATAAGAGTAGGTATAAGAAAGACAGGGATACACAGGCATCCAACACTTAGGAAGTTCTGGGCCATCCACGTGACAAAGCATCCCTTGGCTTTGAGGTCATGTGACCAGCCCATCTTGATGCCGATGAGACCAAATCACTGCTGATCCTGACCTGAGCCAAGGCCATTGCTCTCACAGAGCACGGTGTGTTCAGGCATCCTCATTCAAAGGAAATGTGGGATTAATTTTATTCTTTTATTTTGTACTATTTTTTATGAACAGAAAATCTTATTTTTCTTTCTACCACTCCATGAGCATTCATTTGCAAAAGGAAACTTAAAACTCCACAAAACAGAAACAACCTTCTGATGTGTTCAAATAGGTATTATTCTAGGAAAAACAACTGCATTTAAACGACACAGTACAATAGTCATCCCTCCTTGCAAAGAAGCACACCAGCCAAGCGAGGAAGATGCCACCTCGTCACCTTCTCAAAAGCGGGGCGGCCTCGGTGCCTGGAGACGGTACAGCAGGTCCGAAGGGAATAGCTTCCTCCCTCAGACACCTCCTTCCTTCGCCATAAATTTGACCATAGCTGCTTTCAAATACTGTGAAAGCCAGTACCTCCTTTGTTTTCAGTTTTGTTTTGTTCCTGTTGTCATATTCCCAGCTTAATCAAGGTATAACCAGCAAATCAAAGTTACATCTATTTACAGTGCATAATGCAATGCTTTGATACATGTATGCATTATGGAATGATTAAATCCATCTCACACCTGTATCCTTCACATGTTTAATTTCCTTTTATGGTGAGAACATTTAGCAAGTTAAAGGGCACAGTGCATCATGACTACAGTCCCCAGGGTTACAATGAATCTCCAGAGCTTGTTTATTCATCCTGCCTAAGCTCATCTTTTGACCAATAGGTCTCCAACTCCTGGAACCCACCCCTGACAACCACCATACTACCCTGTTTCAGTAAGTTCGACTTTTATGGATTTCACATATGAGTGAGACTGTGCCATACCTGTGCCTGACTTATTCTACTTACATGGTATCTTCTGAGTTCATCCATGTTGTCCCAGCTGACAGTTTCCCCACATTAGAAGGCTGAACACCATCCCATTATATATATATATATTTCACATTTTCTTTATCCATTCATTGGTTGATGGCCACTTAGATTGTTTCTATTCCTTGGCTCTTGTGAATAATGCTTCAAGAGACATGGGCATCCAGACATCTCTTTGATGCACTGATTTCATTTTATTGGAACATATACCCAATAGTGGATCGCTGGTCACATGCTAGTACTATTTTAAATTTTTAAAACCACCACCCTGCTTTTCCATAACGGCTGCTGCTGTTTACACTCCTAGCAGCGGTGTGCAAGAGTTCTCCTTTCTTTACCCCCTTGCCAACACTTATCTTTGTCTTTTTGATAACCATTCTGACAGGTGTGAGGTGATATCTCATTATGGGTAAAGTAACTTTTGAAAGGGTCAGTGAGCTCCATAACTTCAGCTGCTTGTACCCAAAGTTTACAACCGCATATGAATTTACATGGAAAAAATTACCTTTTTTCTCTTTTCCGGAGACACAACAGCAGCAGAATATTATAATCAGAACAATGATCAGGATCAAGAGCAATGAAAGTGACACTGCAAGCAGAACTATGGCCCAGGTAGGCAATGATGCACCTGGCTTATCAATACTGTCTATAAGATTAAAAGGAGAAAAAAAATTAGTGATATTTGTATCATCTAGGGTCATGGATTCTGCCACTTTAAATTGCATTTGTTTTCCAATAATAATATAACTATTCAGCCTGCTATAGTTAGAAGCCATAGGCCAACTTCCCTTTGGTGTGTTTAATTATTCAATATTCTACAATAACTGCCATCATAATATTTACTGCTGCCAATATATAGTTGCTTAGCAACTCAATTCAAGCAGTCATCAGTGATTGACTCCAGCATTCCTGAGAAGTAGATAAAGTTGGGCCATGATGGCAACTCCCTAGGGTTGGAGAAGTGATTATCATGATAGGACGTCCTGCATTCAGTCAAGAAATAACTATGAATTGGCTACTGCTGAACAAAACCAGAGAATGACATTTGGTTCTGTCTTCCGCATTCCCACCCTTTGAGATTCCAGAGCTCAAAGGAAATTCAGCACACTGAGGGAAGGTCACATCCCAAGGAACTTGGGAGCATGACTTTTCACAGCAATATCAGTCCTATTCCACTGGAGAATTTATTTCTCACACAGTAGTTGCTCATAGCTCTTCAGGAACCACCCTCTTTAGTGTCAACTTTACCTTTTTGTTTTATGCAGTAGTCATGGGGTTGGGAGCAGAAAAAGATAAGATGAGGCACAGCAGGGAGGAAATTAAGGGAAGCGAGAGGAGAAAAAATAGAGAAGAAAAAGCCATTTTGATTTTTTTTGCTGTCATATCGTAGAGCTCTCCAATACTGTTTTTTTTTAATTTTTATTTTAAAGAAAAAGAAACAAAATACAAAATTCCAAAACAATGTGAAAAGAGGGTAACAACAGTTAATACATTGCATTCCAATGCTGGTTTTGTATGATTATCTAGTTCAAACTTAATTAAAATAATGTGCAATGAAGTGTTCAATGCCTCAGTTACACTGCCAGCATTTTAAGTATTCAGTCACCACAGCAGAACATTTCTGTCACCACAGAAAGTCCTGCCGCACAGCTCAGCCCAGCCATCAGCTTGTGGGAACCGTGTGGATGGCCCTAAAGATGACTCACCTGTGTTTCATTTTTCCCTTCTCAGCCATACGGAAGCCTAATCACAGCATAAAAGTTGAGCGTTTAAACTGAAAATCGCTATTTAACCGAAGTCTGCCACTCACCTCTCAGTGCGCAGGCAACATCTCAGTGTTCAGGCCTGCTATTTTGCTGGATTCTATTCATTAGAAAATATGAAAACAACGGGCCTCCTCTGAAGGAGCACAGGTTTATCATCAATATATGGAGCACCCAGCACTTCAGAGCCAGGGGTTGGTGCTGAAAGGTCACCTTGGGTGCTCCTTACAGTTCTCCTAGGAATTGACCTTTTGATTACTCCTATGTTAAAGTTAAAAGCTCAGAATCAGTGGTAGGAGTGGTTTCAGATGCTCACTTATGCCCTGGTGTTTATGATCATCAACCACCTGGAAACTGACTTTTGGGCAGGAAAGGGTCCAACAGCAGACTTGCTTAAAAAGGCATGTGGAAATTCAGGAAACTGTGCTTTACTTATTTATTCATTCTTTTGGTACCAGGACTCGAACTCAGGACCTTGCATTTGCCAGGCAGGCACTTGTACCACTGAGCTATATCCCAAGCCCGAAACTGTGCTTTAGAGAGCTATACAATATAAAAGATATTTGTCTTTTGCCTTTTGTGCAAAGTTTGCCTGCAGTAGCTTTTTTTTTTTTTAAATTTCCTTCTAGGGAATTAAGAAATGTTAAATAATTTTGATAGTATCTCTTTTTATTTATTTATTTATTTATTTATTTTTGGTTTTTCTCCAGTACCAGGAACTGAACTCACGACCTTGCGCTTGCCAGGCAGGCGCTTTTGCCGCTGAGCTAAA